TCCTGGTCCCTTACTCATCCTTCCATCTACCCAACTATCTCCTCCTCTAGAAGGAGCCCTGAAACAGAGCAACTCGCCACTTTTTTAATGTAACAAGTATTTTACAATGCTCATATTTTATTCTGGAAATAAAAATTGTAAATAATAGAATCTACTTCCCCATATAATGTTGAAGGAAAATCAGTATGATGCTGTCACCAAAAAGCCATATAATGCTGTAACTATAAGGAATAAATAAAAGGAAGATAAATATAACAAGAATATTTCCATAAGAATGCTCAGGCACAATCGCATTAACGAAGCTGTCAAATTTTGCATCTAAATGTGGAGTCGATGTGGCTGCAGTAGTGCCTGATGCAGTGTTTTCGTGGGTCTTATCAGCAACTTAGTACCCAGGCAGCCCAGGGTGTCCAGGGAAAACTTCCCTCCACATTGAGTTGAAGGGGTGGGGTAATGCAGGCCACAATGGCCTTGGGTACAACTAGCGTCATATTCAGAGTGATCGTCCTCCCTGGCTCTCACCTTCTTCAGCTCCTACAGGGCCTTAGCCCTCAGGAACATCTTTTTCACTTTCGGGGCATTAGCAGCCCTCGCAGGTCCTCTCCCAATGCCTGTCTAGGCCCTGGAAGGCAGTGCCACAGAGGGGCCTCCAGATGCTCTGTACCTGCCCGTGGGACCTCGGGCTTCCCCGGAAGCCCCGGGGAAGGAGGCCGGGGGAGCGTTCCTTCCGTGGCTGCATCGCCTGGGGGCACTCAGCACCCAAGCTGCATGGTATGGTGCCTCCAAGCCCCTCGAGTCAGTGGCTTCTTCAGCTTCTGCCTGCCTGTCCATTCTCCCTGAGGCTCAGACCTGGGGAACTAGTCAGAGTAGCACCCCGCTTCCCCAGGCTCCAGGCACACCTTATTCTTAGCCTGCTGCACCCTAATCCTCTACCGGCCCCAATCCTCCTGCCAGTCAAATCCTGGCGGGATCCCCACTGCTTCATCAGCCAGGCCTAAACAGGACAGAGTCCCTTCTTGCTCTGAGCGCCCTGCACCACAGATGAGAAGGACAAGTTCTCCTCCAGATAGCTCTTTATTGCTTTGAGACTGCCCTGGGATAATGACAAAGATTCTTCACTTGACCAACTTTAGTTAGGCTCCTGAAACTTTTCCTAGGCCCACCGGTGCACTTCCTTGTAAAATCCAGTTTTAGCAAGAACCCTGCTAAGTCAGTTTCACCAGAACCCTTACCCTTGATATCTGATCACTCTCCATATTTGATCAGATTCTTCATCAGATGTCTGATCTCCCCGCCTGCCTTCAGCAAGGATCCTGTTATTCAGCTTGGCGAGAAACTCCTTTATCTCTGATGTTTCCTCTTAGTAATTTTCCATCTCCTGACCCCCACCCTGCTTCTTGGCTATAAATGCCCACTCGCCAATGTTGTATTCAGAATTGAGCCCAATTCTCCACTGAGGTCTCTTTACCCCTATTGCAATATGTAAAATATGTGGAAATTCTCCAGTTTCAGGGAGGTGGTATCTCCAGGCACCAGCCCCAGGAGAAGCACAACATTCCAAGATGCAGATGATAAAACTGTCTACTAGGCCCTGTTTGATCTGAGAGTTCCCCAGATACATTTATCTTTGTACAAAACGTTACCGGCTAACTTCTGCTTCTTGTAATCTGCTTATTCAAGGATGTAGTGGGAGGCTTTATAAGCTGCCTCCTCTGGAAGCTCGGGGCTGATCTCTAACCCTGCATGGTAGAGTCAGTTGCCGGGCGGCTGATAAAGGCTCATAATTCATCTCAATTGGCTCCATGGGTCTTAGAATCGTTCACGCCGTAACAATAGTCCTGAATAAAATCTGTTTTTATGGCTTTAACTACCATCCAGCTCTGGTTTTTCTTCAACAATAATTCCACCCCTGTTGTCCCTCCCATCACGCTTCCATCTCTCACCACACACCACGGCCCTTGCAAAACAACGACAGCCTACGATCACGGGCACTCGGAACACCAGCATCAACCCCAACACAACGCAGTGGTGTACGCAACACACTGTGTGTTTTGTTTCTTCCTAATTGTTGTAGCCTGACAATGACAATTACAATAGGGTGCCTGCTGTTTACAAAGCACTTTCTCAGTGAGTAGCACATGTTGAAAGCGAAGGAGATGACTTAGAAATCCCAGCAAGATCATGAGCAAATTATTTACCTTGTCTGAGACTGTTCCCTCATTGGTACAATGGGAGAATCATGCCCCCCAACTTGGTTCTTGACATTTTAATGAAATAGCGTGCGGAAGGCAGGAAGTGCTGCTCAAACGTTACTGGTTCCAAGAGCCAGGTTGCTGCGACTCCAGATCCAAATCGGTTAGCTACCCAATCAACAGCTTCTGACTGGAACAATTTTTTGAAAGTTCTATTTTCTGGAGGTACCATTTTTACTGGGAAAAACTAAGGACACTGTTCAAGAAAAAAGTGAGCAGTTGAATTGCCTATAGTTCTACCACATTGACACAAGTTTTTAGTTTGTATGCTTCACCTTCAACATAGATATCTATATTTTAGAGTGTTTTAACCATACATAGGAAGTTTTTTCAAGAATGTATGGTTCCAAGGAACAAAAGAATCTCCAGGCACCAGAAAAACCTCGAGGCCTGAGCTGAAGGAAAAAGTCTGATTTTCAGATTTCTCCACAAAGGAGGAGGTCATAGGATTATGAGAGAAAGAGCAAATGAGAGCGGCTGAACTTGGGCTGAAAGCAGCTGAACTTGGGCACAGCTCTGAGCATAGCACCCTCCTTCCTGCATGGAGTCTGAGATGCTGGGAAAGGGGAGTTGGTGCTGGGCCTGGCTCTGGCAAGAGCTGAAGAGCTGGGGGTATCTTTGTGGTGCATCCCCAGCTGGAGGACCGCTGGGGAGCCCTAGAGCTGAAGGAGGGGCTGTGGAGCCTGCCCTGCCCCCAACCACCTGGGAAAAGGAAGCAGAAAAAGGAGAACCCGTTACAGTCACTACACTTCCTTCTCTTCAAGCTCTTGGGACATCACTGACCAGCAGCTGCATGGAGGACGACCGCGGCAAAAGAAGGGCTTTGGGCCACTGTCTGATAACACCGAGGTAACTTTAATTTTCACTCTTCTACCCTGGCATGAGGAATGAACTGTGGCGGTCTTATTTTTCTCCGGGGGCAGCTGAAGTATACTCCTTCACCTGTCCCAGCCAAGGTTTCCCCTGACTAAATTGGGAACTGGTCTTAGACTTAAAATTTGGAATTTTCAAAAACTGGGAGTAGTGTTCTAGAGATGATTGACCTTGGTAAGACAACGGAGGACACCACTTTGCCCTGACTGGTAAGTTTGTCCTCGGCCAACAGTATTTATAAATAGCTACTGTTTACAGGACACGGCGCTGGTCGTGTTAGGCATTCCAAAGGCAGAAGTTACTGTGAGCTGCCTGTCATCTTCACTCTGCTCACTGAGCCCAAGATAGCTTCCACTCAGGGTTTAGGCTTACAGAAGGAAAACAGGCTAGAAGCCACAGACTGGTGAGAATTGAAGACATGTTTCAGTCAGTTCTGTTGAGCTAGGTTTGTCTAACCGGAACTTTGTTTTGCCTCCTTGCTTTAACTACCAAGGAATGTGAGCCCACCTTCCACATCTTTCAGCGGGCCCTATCCTTGTCTCTGAAGCAGGCTTCCCAGAAATAGGTCAGCTGATGGTGACTCACACACCCTTACTTCCTGGCCTTTCGGAGTTCGGGCCTGCGTATGAAACCTGGCATTGTAAAGACACTTGGTACCTTTGGAGTTGAAGCTCTTCTTCCCTATGCCTGCATGGCTCTGCGTGCTCTTTTGAAAAGGAATGGCTGATGTGTGCACCTGGCCTTTCTCCTCGCAAAGTTAGCAGTGGCCACCATGGGTTCTGTGAATTCCCGAAGTCACAAGGCAGAAGCCCATGTGGTGATGATGGGCCTTGACTTGGCTGGCAAGACCACGCTCCTGTACAAACTGAAGGGCTACCAGCTGGTGGAGACCCTGCCCACAGTTGGCTTCAATGTGGAACCTCTCGAAGCGCCAGGGCGTGTGTCCCTGACTCTCTGGGATGTCGGGGGTCAGACTCAGCTCAGGGCCAGCTGGAAGGACTACCTGGAAGGCACGGACATCCTCGTGTATGTGCTGGATAGCACAGACAAAGCTCGCTTGTCCGAGGCAGTGGCTGAGCTCACGGAAGTCCTGGACAACCCCAGCATGGCCAGCGTCCCTTTCTTGGTGCTGGCCAACAAGCAGGAAGCGCCTGATGCTCTGCCGCTGCTTGAGATCAGAGACAGGCTGGGCCTGGAGAGGTTCCCGGACCGCCGCTGGGAGCTCCGGGCCTGCAGCGCCCGCACCGGCGCCGGGCTGCCCGAGGCCTTGCAGAGCCTAAGGAGCCTCCTGAGATCCCGACGGCACTGCGTCCCCAGGTGAGCGCAGTGGGGCAGCGAGCGCGGAAAGCAAGAGGGCTCCACGTGGACAGAGCGGCTTATCTTTGCTCCTATGAACTAGACGAACCATTTGTTCCTTGAGATTCTTAAGCTCAATTTATCAAAGGAGAAATCCTTCTGTGCTTGGATAGAATGTTTTCTTCTTGGGACTTATCGTCACTGGTATTAATGTTGAAAATCAATTATTGTTTGAATAACGATACTTGAAGGAAAAAAAGTACCTCAACAAACTTCAATTCATTACCAAGTACGAACTGAGCAATTGTAATAATAGGGCAGCAAGTAATTGTAATAATAGAGCATAATAATTAAGACCTAGTTGCAGAGGGTTTTTTTTTTCAAAATCAAATCAGAATATCATCTGGACATGGTCACGGTCTTATGAGTGACTTTTCCTGACAGTCCCTGTGTATGTGCCACCATCACTCTGAAAGCAAGTGGTCAACGAGCAGAATTGAGCAGGCGAGTCTGTTCCCAGGGAATCTTGGGTTTAGAAGGTCGCAGGGTGCTCGGCCTTGGGCGAAGAGCCGGGAGTTCCGGCCTTCCCAAACTTGTCCTCTCTTCTCTGACCCTGATTGACCTTTCTCTGCCCTTTTGTCATTCTGCGTTGGTCTTTTTCTAAACCCTTTACATTTTTCCTTCTTGTACACATATCTTTCCTTAAAGATCAGGTTAATCACTGATTTCATTCATTTATTCATTCATTTAATCAAAAAATATCTAGAGCATTGAATTTGTGGCAAAAGCACTGAACTTTTAGCTATGGACCAGGCCCTCTAATCGGGAGGTATGGATTTTGACAGCAATAAATCTCCCACATTATCACTCGTAAATACTTCCTTTAATCTGAGTGTTTTAATGGCATACAACTTCTATTCAGCACCAGCCCTCATGTCAAACAGCTCTAAATGTTGGCTGTTGCTTCCTATCCTGGACTAACGTCAACCTCCTTTAAGCTCCTGACAGTAGTTCTGCTCTCTCTGGAGTGACAGAATATAAACTGGCCCTCAGTCTCCCTCCAACATCTAGTACCTGCTAGGTCCCTCTATCAAAGTCTTCCCGTCCAGCATCAAGTTAGGCTTGCCTAGTTCTCTTCACTACTTGTCAGTTGATGTGTTTCAAGACTTCCTGTGTGTATTAGACACAGGAAAGTGCGATGATGCAGACAAATGAGACAAGGCATGTGGCCTCATGGAGCTCTGGTTGGGGGAGCAGTGGGACCTAGCTCGCATAAAAGTATAAAGATAGAGGCTCAATTCAGCAACTGTTTCTTGAGCACTTACTGAAGCCAAGTTCTATGTTCAGTGTTTTATGTATAGTATCTCTAATTCTTCCAACTCAGCAAAGTAGGTATCATTCCCATCTTATATAATTAGAAACGGAGGCTTGAAGAGGTTATGACTTGCTTGAGGCACAGAGCTATTTAGTGGCATATCTGGCATTTGAAACCAGAGGAGTCTAGCCCTAATGATGTCTTCATTGTTTCACGACGTCATGCTTCTAGAAGGTTTAAGATCCACCTTCAGTCAGAAGGCTACTTCTTGGAAGCCTGAGGGAGGGCGTCAGAAGGATAAGTAAGCCAGAGTGGCAGAAATAGCACGTTGGGGTGAGGGTAACCTGTTATAAAAGGAAACAAAACTGGAAAAAAAGTTAAGATCTATGATGGGGAAGGCTTGGACTTTTGTGATCAGGAATTTGGCTTGGGAAAGTAAAATCATGGGACTTGGCATTTAGGAGGATAACTTAGTGGAAGTGAGGTGTGGAGTGGATTAAAGAGAAGGAGGGCCACTGGGGACGAGAAGGCGGAGAGACCAGCTAAATGCCCACTGCAGTAACGGAGGAGAGGAAGGGAGATGAGGAAATTGAGAACCTTTTTTAAGGGGAAAAGCTGAGACAGGAATCTGAAGACAGATCAAGAGTTTTGGGTCTACATGACAGGAAGGACTGAAATGAACTAAGAAGGTGGAGAAAGGAGGAAAAGGCTGGGACAGAGACCAGACTGCTGGGTTCTGCTTTTGAAATGCTGGGTATAAATGTGTTTATAGCTTCTTTCAAATTATTCCATTATCTGCAATTCTTGAGATATCAAGGACCCTGCTGCATACACCTGCTAGTTCTCAGTCATGGAGACTCATTTCTTCACACGATTTGTCACTTTTTATTGTGAGCTCATCTTCAGTAGGATCTGTTTTTTCTGTGTCACTCCCATGTGCTCTCGGGAACAGGGTTTCTATACAGAGCGGCTTCACATTAGTATCTACTAGGATCCTAGAGGTTTCAATTGTTTTAGATCAAATATTATGTTAATTTCTCTGCTTGGGGCTCACAGGTAGTATAAATCTGGACTCTGCCCCAGTCAGGGCACAGGCCTTTAAGGGGCATCTCTTTGATGCTCTTGCTTTTCTGCTGAGCTCAGGTCAAAAGTTTCTCTCCTCCAAGCAAGCCTACGGGCACATCTCCCATTCCCATACAGGTGTTATTACCCCAGCCTAGTCCCTAGAGCCTAAATTGGGCTCCTCTAAGATCCCCATGGACCCCAGGCTTCCTAGCTCACACCCAACTGCTTTGGCTGTTGTTCCTCTCTTCATTTCCACCACTTGAGGATTTCTCTTTCTTTCGTGCAAGGACAGCATATATTAAAACAAATATTTATGATGATGATGATAATGATGATTTTGGTTACAGTTTACCCAACATTTCTATGACTCTGTAATGGGAAAGGGTCTCCATCTTCCATGTTGCTGACTGTCCTGGTTGTTTTGATATGTGGCAGGGAGCCTTCCTGAGGTGCTGGCAGGACGGTGCTATGATGAGATCTATACTTAGGAAGATAATCTAGGCAGCTGTGTTTGGGTGGAGACAGGATCCCAAAGGCGGGAGACAGGCTAGAGGATGACCGGGATGTCTTTTGACTGATGAACATACTCTTGGCACCACTGGTCTGAACGGACACTTTATCACCATCCTGCTATGGGGATTCTTCCTCCTTCTCCTGACAATCACCTTTTCCAGCTGGGCTGGTCTCCTTTCTGTCACCAGGATGTAGTAGGCTCTTGCCCAGCTCCAAATGTGTGCTTCTCGCTAGACGAGGCAGAGTGGACAAGAGGGCCAGCAGGTAGCTCTGAGTACGTGCCAGCAGTCCCAGATCCTTGAAGGCAGATGCGCTTAGTCTTAATAATTACCAGAACGTCTCCTTTCATCAATCATCCCCCTCAGATAGGACTTGGGAAGGACAACAAAGCAAAATATAAGAACCACCCCCAGTTAGTACTGACAACCACTGTTTGCTGGTCTATCTCCTGCTGGGAGGGAACAAATGTCAAATCAGGCAGATAGAATTACCCGCGGTAAGTTCTAGGATGTGAACTCTACAGTCTCTGGGTGGAAGGTGGGGTCTGAGAGCCTCAGAGTCCAAGGGCAGCTTTGCCGACCTCGCTGCCTTCCGCGATGTTTGCCTGAAGTGAGCACGGGAATCCCGCAGGATGCCAAGCCCTGCGGCACCCTCCTGGGATTTCCGCTGCCCCCTGCACGTGTGCTCTGTCCCTTCCAGCTTCCATGTCAGCTGAAGGTCCTCGTCCCTATAGTACTAACCCCAACAATGTCAGCATTCCTCGACTATCACACACATCTATGGAAGACACCCCGGCTGTTCCTTGGGCTTAGAATGTTTTCCTGAGGGTCTACTATTTAAGGAACCTCAGATCCTACCTCTGCAGGAGGCTTCCCTGCCCACTCCAGCTATGTTCATCCTCCCTCCGAAATCCCGTGGTGCTGACTGTCCCTGAACTGGGACGCTCCCACACGTTGGTGTGTGGTCTCCCCAAATACAGTGTAAAGTCCAAAAGATGAGGGGCCATCCTTGCATCCGTTAGGCCCTCCTGGGAAAATACGAGATACTGAGAATTGCTCATTAAATACTTGGGCGGATAGTGAATAACTGAAAGCTATTGAACGGGTGTTTTGGCGGAGAGTCCCCAGGTCCTCTGAACTGTCTAGAATAAAATCCAAAAAACAAACAAACAAAAAAAAAATGAGAATACCAAGAGGCTTACTGGCTCGAAAGTCAAAATGGCACTTCAGGAATCCTCTGTAGTAAAAACAACAAAAAGTCATATGTACTCTTTCTAGATCATGTCATGTTCAGAACTACCTTTCAGTCTATGTGGGAGAAGGACTGCTGAATGGGGTCCTTTCACAGGGCTGACACAGGTGGGTGGGGTATGGTGTGGGGCCCTTGGAAAGGTTGAACCCCCTGAGGTGGCCAGTGACAGCAGGTACAGGGCCCTGAGCCAGCGCCTGGGACAATGGCAAAGACGCTTTACTGCACCAGGCAGAGGCCTGGCTTTGCCCACTCTGGGGCTCCTGTCCTCATTTCTGTTTCCACCTTGACACTGATGGCTCTGGAGAGAGGATGGGGCTTCATCCTTTTTCAGAACCTTCTCTGAAGACCACCAGAGAGCTAGCCTTGCTCTCCATGGAACAAGAGTGGCCAGCCCTTACGAGGGGGAATTCCATTCCCATTCCTGATGCCAACGAAAGGGTAGGGCAGTCCTCAACGACAGCTTTGGCCCTTGCCTCCCCACTAAAGCAGGCTGGAGCTCTCCAGGGACATGAAAGTGGGAGGCAAGGGGCAGATGGAGTGGCTTCCATCCCGCTCTTCTGCTCAGAAATAGACATGTCTGAATACACATACGTATGTATGCATGTATACGCATTACAGAGATACAACACAAGGAAGCTAAGGAAAAAACAAATTTCATGCTTTCTGTTTTATTTAGTTTCGTTTTTTAAATGGTGTTCTTTTCACCCCAGGGGTATCTAGTTTTCTTTTTATTTATTTTTTCCTGCAAACACTGTGTGCAGTAAGAATTGTTCTACTTTGGAGAGCTGAATACCCTTTTGACTATGAGGCTGGGTTTCTGCCTTTCTGACTCACTGGATTTGAAGATTTTTCTCCTTCCCCTCTCGGTTGGAATCAATCCT